CCCTACACCTACAAAAAACTGCCATACGACCCGGTTGCAGATTTCATCCCGGTGTCATTGGGTGCCGTGTTTGATGCGGGTTTTGCAGTAGGCCCATCTGTGCCGGCCAGCGTCAAAAACATGACGGACTTCTTCAACTGGTGCAAGGCAAACCCCGGTGCGGCCAATTTTGGTTCACCCGCTACGGCATCGACGCTTCATTTTGTCGGCAGCATGGCTGCGCGCGCCGCAGGTGTCGAGTTGACCCACGTGCCTTTCCGGGGAACGACACCTGCCATCCTGGACATGATCGGTGGTCAGATCGCTGCGGTGGTTGCACCTGTTGGCGACTTCATGCCTTTTCTCGACGGTGGCAAATGCCGCATTCTCGCGACGACAGGTGCAAAAAGAAACCGGTTTGTGGCCAATGTGCCCACCTTTGTAGAGCAGGGCTACAAGGACATCGTCATCAACGACTGGTTCGCATTTTTTGTGCCCGCCAAAACACCGCAGGCCCATGTGCAGCGCCTGAATGCGGCCATCAAGCGGGCGATGGAAACCCCCGCCGTCGTCAAGGCGCTGGAAGACCGGGGCCTGGAGCCGCGCTGGTCAACGTCGGCGGACCTGGCTGCACGTCTGAAGGCCGACATGCAGAAGTGGCAGCCCATCGCCAGGTCTTTCAATTTCACGGTTGAGAGTTGACCCGCTGTTTGCGCTGTAGGCCATTACCAGTGGTGCCTGATGGCATTGCCCCATCGCGAGGATTGATTTGTGATTGAAGCAAAAGATGTGATGGTTCGCATGCGCGATGGCGTGGAGATCGCCTTGCGCATTTACCGGCCTGCGGGGCCGGGGCCGTTTCCGGTCCTGTATGCCGCATCGCCTTACCGCTATGACAACAACGAGTTGCCGGCCACACCGCAGTTTTTGTGGCGGGAGACCGGCCCCATCGAGTGGTATGTCGAGCAGGGTTATGCCTATGTGCATGCCGACGTGCGCGGCACCGGCATGTCGGGTGGCGACTATGGCCTTTTCAGCGAGGCGGAGCAGCGCGACCATTACGAACTCATCGAGTGGATAGCCGCGCAGGCCTGGAGCAACGGCAAGGTGGGCGGCATAGGGCAGTCGTATTACGCGATGTCGCAGTGGCACATGGGCATACAGAACCCGCCGCACCTGGCCTGCATAGCGCCGTATGACGGCATGCTGGATTTCTACCGCTTCTTCGGCACGCTCAACGGCATCGAATCTGACTGGTTCGGCATCTGGTTCAACAGCAACGTTCGTGTAGCCAACAAATACCCTGCCAATGGCGGCAGGCCGCGCGAGTTGCCGCAAGACATGGCCTATCTGGTCGGGCAGCACCCCCTCAACGACGCTTTCTGGAAGGAGCGCACTGCAATAAACCGTGTGGGTAAGATCAAGGTGCCGGTATTTTCAATCGGCGTATGGGCCAAACAGGACCTGCACCTGGAGGGCAATATCCTGGCAAGCCGGCTGCTGGGTGACAAATGCAAGCTGCTCGTCAGCGGTGTGCCAACGCCTTTCCATGCAGCGGGTGAGTTTGAGTCCATCCCGTTCCACCGCGATGTATTGCTGCCGTTTTACGACCGCTATCTGAAGGGCATTTCTTCTGCATATGACGCGAGACCGCCGATTGAATACCCGGTACGCAACTCGCAGATCAGGAAGCAGGGTACGGCCTGGCCGCCTGCAAACGCGCGGCGCGAGAAGTTGTTTTTGGGTACTGTCAAAACCGGCTCTGTCAATTCCGTTAATGACGGCTCACTGCACCGCGATGCAGAGGCGGGCGAGGGGCGCGACGCCAGCCTGACCTGGAGCTATCCGCATCCCGATTGGGTGCTGGGTACAGCCGTCATCACGCCACAAGGCCCCGACACGGTGCGCGGTGTGCTGACCTTCACCAGCCCGCCGCTGGAGAACGACAGGATCATGGAGGGCAATGCCAAGGCCGTCATCCATGTTGACAGCACGCGGCGTGACACGGATGTGTTCGTCAAGATAAGTGAGCAGTTCGCACCTGATGCCGCAGCGCCCCAAGGCGCACAGCCGCGCGCGGTCATCGTGACCAAGGGCTGCCTGCGCGCCTCGCATGCCCTGTCACCCAACGCACGAGACCCCAAACTCAGTACGGCCGATACCCCGTATTACCTGCACGAATCCGAGACCTTTTCCAAACCCGGCACATTGCTGAAGCTTGAGATCCCGCTGCGATCCATGGCCTACCAGTTCAAAAAGGGGAGCCGCATCCGGGTTGAGGTTGCCAACACCGACACGCCTGTGACCGAAGTGGTCTGGGCGCACGTCTACAACCCGCAAAAGATGGGCTCCGACACCATCTACCTTCGTGAGCCGCATGCGTCGTATGTCGAGATCCCGTTTGTGGACTGATGGCATCAATTTGGACAACAGGAGAAGAAAATGG